CGTTCTATCACATTTTAATAATATTAGAGTTTCCTCTGCTGAGTAGCTCCTTTCCGGATCTGTAAGCATCTGATGACGCCGAGAAACAGCGGGTTTTATCGAGTATCCCCAGTGATCGCCTTGTTCTGTTGTCAGTTGTCGTTCACCTTGTAGTTTCGCATTCACTTCTTCATGGGTATCTTTGCCGTAGCACTGATGATATCGTAAAACATTTTATTAAATGTTTGAATATTTGACTTTTTAGGGAAACCGGTCAAATTGCGAAGAATCATGCAATCGTAGTCATTGTCTGTGATCTTTTTCCGTTTTACTGCAAAATTGCGAGGCAATAAGAATCGATTTTTCGTTTTCCTATTTGAACTAGAAAAGTTGTATCCTTTTTTAATCGTAAATTTGTTTATAAATCGTTGCTGAAATAATTTTATTTATAGTTTAATCATTTTATTTCGTTGTTTTTTGTTATTTTTTGCATGATTTCTGCTTTCTAGTTTTATTCGAAAAATATACGGTTTTTAATAAAATGACTATACTATTATTTTTTGTCGTTTCCAATCGAAATGTTTATTCATCCTTAATCGTTTGAATGTGACTAAAGCGCAGCTTAGTTGAATAGTAGCTAAAGCGTAGCTTAGCTGAATTCTAGGCATAACATTCACAAACTTTGGAAACGTTCTGGAGTCGAGACTCAAATGTTGATTGAATTAAATACAGTTTGACTCTTCACTGTCCGGCACTACCATTAGATTCCACGTACCAATGTCCAAGACTTTGTTTGACGTTCTACCGGATTTCACGTAGTTTTTTGGGATTTTAAACTGCCATCTTCTTTCACAGAGGCCAACGTGGTTGCACCGATGGTAGATCTTCAATCTCGGGTCAATGTGGAACACGTCGTACGCGTGTCCGCTCATTGAGAAGCTGCCATCAGGACCTGTTCTCACTTCAGCCATTTTGTCGTCCAGCCCAATATCTGAAAAATTATTTATCATACAGATACTTAAAAATAATTTGTCGCTGAAAGAAATCAGCTTTGTACTGATTATTACATCGAATAATTAACTGTCGGATAAGTCAAGCGAAATGCAGCCACTAGGGGCTCTCGAATGAGCCGACATGGCGATATATGTCATCAGTTCTGACATTAGCAGACGAAAATGCCATGATGTTCCTAGTAAGTTACAGACTTGCCAACTACCTGCTTCGATTGGGTGCGTCGAAAAAGTGTGGGGTAAATTCC